GCCGCCGCAAAGCCATTCCTGCAGTTGAAGGCCCCTATCGCCCCCCCTCCCCCTCCCTCCACCCCCCCATTCTGGAACACAGGGACAATACCATACAATCTTTGAAGCGGAGAAATCAATACAGCTCCCTTCTCCCTTCTACTTGCTATTGTGGAATGTAGCAGCGTGCTATTCGTGCTGGAGCATAGCAAGAAGAAGGTGCGCAGAGAAAGAAAACAAATAAATCATGTCAAGACCATTGGTAAATATTATTTAGACTGCTAAAAGGAGACCTTTTAGCAGTATAAATAATATTTCAAGCTTGTGACTTGAGAAAATTGACATTGAAAACAATGTAGAAGGCTCGGTTATGGTAGTACAAAAGCTTTCCTCACGCGAGCAAAGGTGCTTTTAAAACCACCTTAAATCAAATTTCCTTTCAATTTCACAAACTGGAACATATTGGAATATATTTTGTGGAAAATAAAAAAGTAATCAGAATGATTTACAGTGTTGCACATCCTCAGTCAGGGTAATCTGCCAGACTACACCATCAGCATCCCATTTTGTTGGTGTGGCTTTGTTTCTGCCATTTGAAGAATGCTTTTCATTTCACAGATGACATTCTTTGAGAATCTACACTCATTTGAGATATTGTTTTTGCAAAACGCCATCACCTGCTATTTACTTGTAAAACGTGGCTTTTCAAAATCCACTTTAGGCCTTGTCTAATCACTCTATTTGTTTCACTTCTCATTTGTTCTGCTTTGCCCTGTATTTTCCTATTAATGTGCAGTGAAAGGCTCACTACTGATTTTCAATATAAGGTGGTATTTATGAAATGATCCACATTAATCTAGTATAAACCTGGCATCCAGCTGGACCAGTATGCTACTGAGTCACAACAGGGTTGACATTTCAGTTTCTGTAGATACTGGCCAACAACACGTGTTTATAATTTCTGATGTCAACATCCAAAAGCACAGGCTGATCAATATATGCCAGAAAAGCAATATTTTTTTATGACTTTTTTATTACTTTTATTACTATTTTCTAACTGAATACTACAAACTGTCTCAGTTTATAGTGGGTGGACTCACCACCAAAATCAGTAGTTGTTTCATTTTAATTTACAAGGTTAGCTGAGGTTAATTAAAATGACCACATTTTGTTATTGTATTTGTGTATTGTGTTTTTGTCTATGAATGTCCTTCTTTATGAAAGCGAATACTACAAACTTGTTGTTTCATTTTAATTTACAAGGTTAGCTGAGGTTAATTAAAATGACCACATTTTGTTATTGTATTTGTGTATTGTGTTTTTGTCTATGAATGTCCTTCTTTATGAAAGCAACAATGCCACTCCCACTCACTTTACAGATAATGAGATGTCACTCTGCCATTTCTTTTACACAAAAAATCACATAATAATTAAGTATATCATTATTATGAGATAGTATCTCTGACTGTGGGTACACGTCATTTCTTGCAGACCTAAGTCATAATACCGAGATATCAATCTAATATTACGAGATATTAAAACATAACAATCAGATAGCATCTCATTATTTTGAATTAAGAATGTATTACCTTTTCCGTAGTGGTGTAAAATGTGCTTTCATAGATTTGTTTGTGTTTTGTTTTAACAAATATTTTTGTAAGAAACAATACAGAAATTGTAAATGTTCTCTCCAGTACTTTGTCTCCACTGCCTTGATATTTATTAAAAGCCACAGGTTTGTCGAAAAATGTATCGGAATTCCAGGCAAAGGTCATTAAAGGGCCGTTTTTTTCAGATGGAATCCTGGCTGAACAGCATTCAAATGACACCTTAAAAAGCACAAAGTAAAATCTGGACAACAAAAGTGAATGGTTCAAGGAAATAAGAGTTGTTCGTTTTGTAATTTATAAAAATGCATTAAAACTTACCATTTCTCTTCATGTAAGTTGTATTCATAACAACTCAATACAAACCAAATGATAAAGTATTAAAAAAGACTTTATTTCCCAGAATGCCTGTCGTGCTGAGGTCACCTTCAATGCCAATGGGTGCGATGAAATTAAATACCGGCGTGTGCAGAAACCGGGGCTGCTGGGTGGAGCTGAGGTTTCAAGCAATAGCACAGTGAGGATAGCTCTTGTTTGTAAATTTCAAGCAATGTGAAAGATGTGTCAACATTTACACCGATTTTCCAGATAGTTCTATGTAACATGTCGGATTACACTGCGCACTTTATCGATTAGTTTATGGCATTGTCAAACCACTTCAAACAGCGTTTAGCTGTATGCCTCGATTTGTGTTTTGTTATCGGACCAAAGTGTGTTATCAGTTGTCAAGTTAGCGATTTGCTTTACTGCTAACGCATAGCTAACTTACTACAGTTACTGCCAGGTGTTTTCACAGCGGTGTTTCTGGCTTCTACCGGAGAACAGGTAACCCCCCCATGAACAAAATTGGCTGAAATTTATGAACAAAACTATAGACATTATGCATTTAACCGTAAGCTTTCAATATAAAGTGCTTATCAAAGTCCTTCCGAGAATGACTACTCACTTGAATTTATTTAGTTTACCTCAGTGGTGTTGGTGTTGCTGATGTTTTTGGCTACTGCTCTGTAATTACTAGGTTCATCTCATAGTATTTTCAATTCAAAGCATATGTGCCGTAATGCTATTATTGTATAACATTACTGTTAATGTTATACATTACTTTTAATGTTATACTGTGTGTCACTATGAACTTTGTACAGTTTCAAAGTCCCACCTTGATCGTCACAGCAGTGGTGCTATACATTTTTTGTCTTCGTTCCTTGAGTTAATCATCAAAAAAGTTGTAGTTTTGAGTAATTATCCCAATCAGAGTTTCTATTTTTTTTTATTCAGACAGAGTTTTAGGCATTTCCTCTAATGACTTATTCAAAGTATTGAAATTCTAACAATTATTGTACTGTCCCTTATGTGGTCTTTATTGGTTTTGATACAAAATAGTTCCTCAACACAAATACAAATACAAAAATAAATAAATAAATAAATAGCAAGACTATAGCAAAAGTCAATAGAGCCTTGTGGGGAAAAAAATGAACAGTGAGTTTGCACAATAGAAAATCTCCTTTTCTGTTTAAAATGCTGTTTCCGGACCAGATTAAAGTTTGGTGGTAAACAGTACTGTGGGGAGACTGGAGTGCATTTCAAAATGGATGAATTGTCTTTCATTATAAACATACTTAAATAACTGCCGAGGTGAAGGTTGTTAACAGTCCTAAAATTAAATGACTCTAAATAATCTATGATTTGAACCATACTTTTAATGTATAGTGTTTTCTATATCTGTTAATGTATCTTAAATATAATATCTCTAGGTTTCGAACCTCATAAGGCAGAACAAATTACATTTTTCCCCTTGAACTAACCTGTTGGACGTAGTCATAATGGTACCTTTGAGTTATAGAGGGAATGATGGCTCTTTCGATGCAACTGTGCACCTGCACATCTGCTCTGTATAAGTCTGTAGATTGAGTGGGAAGACTGTGGATTTTCAGCGAATGAATTAATCATCAGTGACTCAAACTGCCGGTATTCGTCCCAGTGTTATACTCAGCTTAGGGCAGAAGGAACATGAGATATTAATACTACAGCTCATTAAATGTAAGTTTTATCATTTGCTGCATAGAGACCATAAAGCGTCGTGCAAAAGGTTCAAAGTGCTGCTTTGACTTTTCACAGTTTCTCCTCTAAGGGAAACGATTATGAGGAGATGATGCTGTATATCTCTGGCAGAGCCAATCCTAGATATTTGTAGAGGAGTCTAAAAAGAATAAAATGAGCATTCTCCATCCAGTGAGTCACTGTTTTAATTAATTACTTGCAATAACGCATCAAAAAATGAGCCCAAAATTTCCTTCGTCAATTAACCTATTAACAAAGGCAAGAAAGAGCCATTTTCTATCCACACAGTGAATACAGTCTTTTTCATCAGTACTGTTTTGCTGAGAAGATCTTACAGAAAAAAGCTCTCAAGGAAGATCCAGAAAGCCAGTACAAAAGATTCTGAGGTGAAAAGGATTGTTGAAACGGTGAGTCAAGGTAGGAGTAGGAAATAAAAAATAAATAAAAAATTGGAAATCCTTCATTTCGCTGTCATTGTCTGCAGTGTGATGTGACAATTAAAAGTTCTTGATTCTTGAAAATGGAAAATAAATTATCTTTTAGTTGCACAGAAATTTGGTAGACTCTATTTACTAGAACTGGAATATGTGGCAGAAACCACTGGGGAATTTGTTTATTACTGGTCAAACATAGAACACAGTGCTGCCAAAAATAAAAGGCTCTCTCAATAATCGCATTGTGTTCATTGGAGACAAGTCCCTCTTTAAAACCCCTTTTAGCACTCAGCGCTTTATTAAACATTTATTGACCTACAAAGTAACGAAAACATTTTTTTTTAATTTACTGGCTTTACAGTCTTCACATTATGGCCCTGTCTGGAGTGAGAGTCATCGAGCTGGCAGGCCTGGCTCCAGCCCCGTTTTGTGGCATGATCCTGGCAGACTTTGGAGCCAAGGTGATTCGTGTGGACCGGACAAAGGCATCAATGGATTTGGACAAGCAAGCGCGGGGAAAACTGTCTGTAGCCATCAACCTGAAAACCCCAAAGGGCGTAGACTTGCTCAGGAAGTTGTGCGTCCATTCAGATGTGGTCATCGAACCTTATCGTAAAGGTCAGACTTGACTTTTCTCATCATGGAGGTCTTTATTTCAGTCCTCTCTATGTGACAAAGTGTGAAAAAAAGTAAATATTTAGCAAACTTTTTAGCAATGTGTTTTTTTTGCATATGGAAATGTGATTTTTATCACTACAGAGATATAAATACACCTGTTCTGATTGTGTATCAAAATGTTAAGTGAAATGTAAAAGTCTGTACCAATTTGAATAATTGACAATGAAAGTGAATGGGAATCATTGATGGTGTCATGACCTGTGCTGTTGTGATGTGTGACCTCGTGTTAGGCCTCAGCTTCATAGACAAGAGCAACACATAATAACATCAGGATCAACAGCACCACCTGCTTCCTATTGATCGACAAAGGAACATGAGATATTAATACTACTCTTAAAAAATACATTAAACAGAATTGATTTGTGTCTACGTCTGATATTTTAGGTGTGATGGAGAAGCTAGGTTTGGGTCCACAGGAGATGCTGAAAGAAAATCCCCGTCTCATCTACGCTCGCTTGACCGGTTATGGACAGACGGGGCTTTATGCGAATGCAGCGGGGCATGACATCAACTACTTGGCAATGTCAGGTAATAACACACACACACACGTGTGCAGTCCTGAATTTTAACAGCACACAGTTTAATGTTGTAAGGTTTAAAACAGGGTATTCAATTAGAAGTCACTGAGGTCCAGTTATTACATTTTCTCAATGTAAAAAGTCCAGACCAAAGTCCAGCTTGCTTCTTATAGCCTTCCCCTACGTCCACTTTTCCATAATTTCAACAATATTTACTGTCAGTTTTCAAAAATACCAAAAATCAGTCAACATAAGCAATCTTATGCAAATTAATTTAAATGCAGATAGAGAATAAAACAGAAACGTCAGAATTAAATAAATAAAGTAACTTTTTTGTAAATTGAAGAGGTTCCAGCCTGAAGTCTACTTTTCAAGTAAAAGTCCAGAAAAAAATTGCCAACAGAGCTTTGAACAACATTTTCGTTTCTTTTACAACTTCTCTTAATGAGAGAAAATAGGCTTGTGACGGTCCAGTAATTTCATTTTGTTTCATTTCTTTCACACATCTCGTCTTTTTGTTTTCCCTCAAATAGTGTCTCAGTAACAGCGATGAAGCACAACTGTTCCATCACTTGAAAATGTTTTATGTTCTCCCCAAATCCACAATATCATTTGTTTGCACGTCGCTGTTATGTGGTGATAAGTTGGGACCATCTGTCGTACTGGGCTTGCAGTTATTCTGCGGGGCCTCAGCTTCAGGGATAATGTTGCACAAATGAGCTGTGCTTTGTTTTGTAGTGATTTATGATTTGATTAATGCCCCATAACTCAGCGCATATGAGGCAAATGTTTTTAACTGCCTACCAGAACAATGGACGTGCATTTAACAGTTTATACATTTTTAAAACAACTGTTTTCCAAAAATCAGCTTTCCTTCTTTCTTTCGTTCTGTCATCACTGTCTGTTTCCCTCCTCTCTGATACCTGGTGTTGTGGCGTAAACAAATGATTTGATTGAAGCTGTTGAATTGACTGCAATAGCAGCACCTGTTGTCTGTAATCAACCCCTGATCTATACAGTCTTCCGTTTGCAACCGGCCCTTAAAGGGGAACTGTATTGCTGATGCGACATCCCAGGTCTAGACCAAAGAGGTTTGTAGAGCTCACAGTGTCATTTAACATCTCACATTTAAAGGTTAAACCATAGGAACCAGCTGTTCAGCACTTGGCTGTGTAAAGAACCCAGCTATTGTATTAAAGTTGTGTTACAGTTCCCTTTTACACTAATGCTGGTATTTGAACTCAAGTTTCCTTTCATTTACCTCAACTAGACTACAAACATAAAAAACAGATTTAAACATTTCACGCACACTTTAAAGATAATGTGATCGTTAGCTGTTGCTGTATATTCCACAAGAAGAAAAGCTGAATTGTTTACGCAGGTACAGAGGCAGAACACTCGTCTTATGGTTTTGTTTTCTTGGCAGAACAGAGAAATAACTCTTACAGGGTTTGGTACAAATATCATATATTCCACTCTTACAGGGTTTGGTACAAATATCAAGGAAGGATAACAAAAAAAAACATCTATGAAAACTGAAAAAGTGTGATATTTTGGGAGTAGTCTCCAGAGTTAAAAAGGAGAAGGGAACTCCAGGTGTGTTTTTGTAGGGCAGCACCTGCAGCCACTGCACCTCAGCTCTTTCTGTGACACTATTTATTTTTATTGCAGAGTAAGTCATGTATTTTTATCCAAAGAGAGAAGCCCTGGGCAGTATTGATTGGACCAGTGATATACTTTATTTAATGTTGTGACCTTTTTAAAATTGATAATTAATTTGTTATTCTTTTTGTTCCTTCTGGATGCTTTCAAAGGTTCTTCCACATGTGTCCAGCTTCTTTTTTCCTTCATTTGTCTCGTACTGTTTCAGCTACAGTAAAGTTTTTGGTCTTTGATCCAATTAATAGTTCTTATTATAACAGAGAGGTAAAATATAAATCAAGTTAGCACAGATATATAATGCTTCTTTAACCAAGTCTGCTTTTTCATAACATCACTAATCAAAATTAGTCTAATTGAACAGTTTGTTTTTGTTTTTGTTTTCCCCAATTGTCTGTTCTGTTGCAGAACACAGCTGATTAACTTTTATTTTACGGCTGTTTATCTTTCATTTCCTGGTAATTTTGAAATGTTACGGCTGTTTATCTTTCATTTCCTGGTCCGTTCAGACTCTTATCTCATTAATTTTACTGTGTGATTGTCATAGATTTTTCTTTTCCATCATTATTTCTCTCACAGGCCTTTTGTCGCGTCTGGGCCGCAGTGGAGAGAAGCCTTACGCTCCATTGAATCTGCTGGCAGACTTTGCAGGCGGTGGACTCACCTGTGCCCTGGGGATTGTCCTGGCTCTGCTGGAGAGGACGAGGTCTGGGAGAGGACAGATTATTGACTCTAGTATGGTAAGAGTTTTGATACTTGATACTTCTTTTGGTCGGAGTATTTGGGCTGCCTGATGACATGGTGTCATGTCATCATGTCATCATTTTCATGTTTCAATATACAAATAAACACACACACACACACAGGCACACATGTCCGCCCTCCCTTCAAACTGGGAGAGACTCCAACTACTGGGGAAAGTTGGCACACAAGGCCCTGATTAAAAGTTACATTTCAACAAATTGCACAGATGGCTGTCAGGCGTCATGTTGATTCACTGCCTCTCTGTGAGCCTGACATCAGTAATGTAGTCGCACTATGTACGGTAGAAAAAACATCACACAAGAGGATCATGATCACAGCTACTAAGTACGACCAAAAATTATATATGCATTATTGCACAATGATTCTTGTACGTCTGAAAATATTTCTTCTTTTTGAACTGTGGGGTTAATGATAGCAGCCCTAAGTGCAGGGGCTACTGTCAAAGAACGTGTGTGCGATAATTAGCTTGACATATTTCATGCTGCTTTTGCTTCAATGTCACTTTTTGAATTGACTTTTTTCTCACACTCCTACCTGAGTGTTGGAGCCTTTTTTATTTTATAGCATTTTTTGAAACATGGAAACAGATGGTTTGCCATATGAAAAGCAAGAATAACCATAAAAATAAAAAACAGGCAGGTGAAGTGATGCCCCCCCGCCCTCCCTCATCTGCAGGTTGTTAGATTAATTTTGCATCCCTTTTGGGTAAGTACATGTAAATTTGCTCATTTTTATAGCTCATTTTCAAGCTCATTAAAATTGAGTCAACCCACAGATGAAGTGCATTTGAATGCAGCTGTTTGCTCCTTAAGGGGACTGTAGTCCTTGTTCAGGGCTGCAGTAAAATCAGACTGTACTGTTGCGTGGTTTTCTTTTTTTTTTTCGCAGTAAAATGAGACTGTACTGTTGCATGGTTTTCTTTTTTTTTTCTTCATGTTATTTTTATGAGCACATTTCAATTGCAACAACCAACACAGTGTGTGATAGTGTGGGGTGAAAACAATGTGTGTTTGTAATATATATATTTCTAAGGGTAAATTAAAATAGGTTTCGGGATTTCAGCTGGTGTCTAGTTTTAAACTAAGACATGCTGGGACACACCTGTCCACCGGTTGGATTCCCCGTCTTTCTGTATTTACTTTGTATGTTCTCTGCATGGACCGGATACTTCAGATGTTTTCCCTTGGTGTGACTGTAGATGGATGTTTGTCTCTTTGTGTTGGCTTTGGCATTCAGCTAAAACACAGATAAAATCAAAGCATTGGACCAGGACTCTGGAACAGTGTCCGCCTGGCAGCAGACATCTGTGTGGGCTGTTAAACACTGAGTTAATCAACAAATAAAATCCGGTCATTAATTTTTCTATTGAATCAGACTCTGAACAATTTAATTTTGAGGAAAAACTTTGCTATGGTTTCTCACAACTACATGTCTGATTCCATATCTACTTCATTTTCTTCTAATTCTTTTTCTACTTTCTGCTGATGCATCTAATTGTTCTTCTTGTACTTCTGCCTTTTCTTTTTCTAATTCTACTTCTGATTATGATAATCCATCTACGTCCTTTTCTTCTTTGTTATCTTATTTCCTGTCTTCTTCATTGTTGCTACTTCATTTTCTTATTCTTTAATTCTTCTGCTTCGCTTCTTCTTTTTCTTATTCTTTAATTCTTCTGCTTCCTCTAAGAGGTCGCTATATCTGATGCCCATACCTACCCTTTGGTTAAACCAACCATGTTCATATCTTTTTTTTTTCCACTACCTCCATAAAAGCAGGTGCCTCAAACATCTGGCTTGCAGGCCACTTCTGGCCCACAAACCGCCCAAATGTGGCCCGCAACTCGATGCCAAGCATATGGGATGTAATGTGATCCGTTCCTTGGCTGTTCGTTTTTGGCCCTTAAATGAGAGGGGCAACTGTGGCCCCCAGCTCCTTTGAGTGTGAGGCCCCTCCACTCACTGTAGGTCTGTGCTCACTGTGAAGAATGTGATATAATATGAAACTGGATTCTATAGTCGTAAACCAAATAAAATATACATACGGTCTCTAAAATAATGGTTTGGCCTCATTGGCTCACTCACTATTCCTTATGATCTTTCATCATGACACATTTTACAGTGAACTGTGCTGTGAACTGTGTACCACTTTTGAGGCAGTGCATATAGGACGTTTTTTTTTCTTTTTTTTCTTCATCTACAGCAGTAAAGTGGAGCACGCTGGTTTAGACAGCACTTTTAGAAATATCCAACGTTTCTAGTACGTAAACAAATTGAATTTCATTAAATTTAGCTACAGTATTTCCAAAGGTAGTATTTATGTACATGGATATTTGTACAGTTTATTAACATTGTCCCTTTTAAATTAATACAAATAATTAAAGTAAAACTGAGATTAATAAACTTCTTAGTATGGAATTGCATACACATTTGATTATTTCTACATCTGACCTTGCTTTAAACACTATGTTTACCAAAAGGTTTTAAAATTAAATAAAAAAATTATAATCAAAGAGATTACTTCATACTACTTCTACTTTTGTGATTATAAATGCACATTTTTAAGGAAACAAATATATAAATCTGTTTAAGTTATTAGAGCTCTGTTCATTTTTCTTTTTGCAAAACAAAACAAAAAAAAAAATCTGTTCTTAGAGAAGACGGTGAACCGGGTTGTGGACTGAAGGGAGAAGTCGAGAACGACAGGATTCATCTGGTGGAAACCAGGATATGCAGAGAAATAGCCTTGTTACTGTCATCAACCAAGGTTCTTTTCCTCAGTTGGTCCCAGAACATTTTGAGTATTTTCTACATAAAAGAAGAGTAATGGTTGGCTGCTTTAAAACTGCCCCACTAAGACAACTGAATAAATCAGGACAATGGACCAGTTTCTCCATGGATACCTCCATTTTCTTTCCCCCTACTTTTTTCACATCTATATTTCATGTCCAGAGACCATCAGAAAGTTACGATGTTTTATCTGTGCTAATGATTTCCTCGTCCCAGAGTTTTGAATTCAGCACATGTACTGAAGGGAGTCTGTGAGAGCAACTCTCTGCTGTGAGTCATCGGGGACAGCAGGGCTCATAAAAGAAAAATAACAGCCATTTGTATGCATATGTGCATACATGCATATGTAGACATATATAGTGTCACTAGTCACTAGTTTAAATGAAGTTGATATTATTTATTATTTTTATTTGAGAAAGAATTCTCACTTCATTTCAGCTCAAATTAATTCAACTGATTGCATTAGGCATACGGTGCGTCATGTCTGCTGCAGCCACGCACACCTATAGGAATAAAGTTCCACGATGAAACTTGTCTTATGTCATTTAAGTCGCCGTTTAACACCCAGTCTTTGAAGCATTCAGTTTTCCTAAGGGACCACATGGATCACAGGAATAGTTTTAGAAGGCCATATCAATATACTTAGGTATAAGTTCATTACATTTTTATACATATGATTTTGACTTGCAACCCCTAATATATATATATATTTATAGTACATGTACATATATAAATATATAGATATATATATTTATATTATCATTTTTTTGCGACTCCATATATCTATCGAATTATTGCTTTCCTGTAGCGTTACATCCCTAATATTATTCTCTGTGTGCATTTCTCAGAAACATCCAAACATACTTGCGTGTAAACACAGACAGCAAGTGTTCCATAACTAACAGTTGACAAATATCCTTTCGCTCCTGTATCGCCGTTCTTAACCTTCCTGTGTAGAGTTACTGCTTGACTTTGACATGTACAGCATTCCCGGTGTTGAATGGGTTCATTCTCCGACACGAGGCGTCAAAAAACGGCCGTCCTTTGACATCTATACCAGGGTCATTGAATTTAATGTATAATGTATACACTTGACTTTGTGTTCTGTTTTTCGTCCTCTTTCTTTAGGTGGAAGGCGCAGCATATGTTGGTTCATTTATATGGAAATCTGGTAGCATTGGTCTGTGGAGTCGTTCGAGGGGTGAGAACATGCTTGACAGTGGAGCACCTTTCTATGACACTTACCAGACCTCGGATGGTAAATACGTGGCCTTGGGAGCCATAGAGCCGCAGTTCTACCAACAGTTACTCAAAGGTAAGCGCTCCACTAATGTAGACTTTAAAAATAGACTTTAGTCATTCTTCCATTTTAGAAAGTGTCTTTGGCAATGTGTCAAAGTAAATGTGACATGGTGAAACATTTCATTACTTAGAATTAAATCTCCCATGAGAGACAAGGCTGCAGCGTGTTCAGTAGGTAATTATGAAAATTAAAAGTTTTTATCCTTCTCGTCCGTGTCTTGAAGAATTGTGAGAGACACCCGAGATAATTAGCAACCTTCGTTTAGCCTCACTCATTTTTTGCGATGTCTGAATGGCTGGTTTCCCATTGAATTACAATTGGGGGTTTTGTGTCAAACTCAAGGCCCGGGGGCCAAATGCGGCCCACCAAGCCGTTTTGTGTGGCCCGCGGGAGCTTAAGAAGCATTTAGTAAAGTCCATGCAGCAGAGTTTCTTACCCTGAGAAATTGAAGGGTTTTTTTGTTTACACAGCAATGAACAATGTTTGTAGCTTGAATAAAAAATAATCAGTTGCAGAAACATGTATTAGTCGTAGTGACATCTATACCAGGGGTCCCCAACCTTTTTTGTTCCAAGGACTGGTCAGCCAGTACCACCCATTACTAGATTTTTGAAATGCAAATCTGAATGCAGTTCAGAGTTCAAACGTACACACCTCTGGGCTACGCTGTGCAGTGCAGTAAGATGAAGACCAGAATAGCAGACTGTGACTTTGCCAAAAGCAGTGACTGACACACTCTGGAGGTTTCTTTGTAAGCGCTCAGAACTCATTTTGATACAAATTCCTTTGTTTCAATGTTTCATCATTTGCTGTTGGTACACTTTTCTTTTCACAGGTTTAGAGTTGGATGACAAAAAGCTTCCTCCTCAGATGAGCTTCAATGATTGGCCTGAAGTGAGACGGATATTCACTGAGCGTTTCGCTTCAAAGACCCAAGCGGAGTGGTTGAGGATCTTTGATGGCACCGATGCCTGCGTAACACCGGTGTTGTCTTTCGAGGAAGTGAGCTCACACCCGCATAACCAAGAAAGAGGTTCTTTTGTGAAGGACTCCTGTGGTGAAGAAAGCCCCCGCCCAGCTCCGGTTCTCTCTCGAACCCCTGCCGAGCCTAACCTCACCTCTGAGCCTGTCATTGGACAGCACACGGTCAGGGTCTTAGAAGAGTACGGCTTTGCACCAGGAGACATAAGCAGCATGTTAGAAGCAGGGGTGATTGAGTGTAGCGCTAGTAAAGCAAAGTTGTAGCAGAAAATCAACCCGATCATTTTATTTTAACATCACATCTATTCTCTGAATGTGTAAGAGACAAAACAATAAATATGTCCAGCCCTAAACCTTTGTATGGGTTTTTCCTCCTTTATTTATCCTCCTACAGTGACCTTGTCATATGCATCAGAGAAGCAGTTGTTTATAGATGCGTGTGTTTGTCACTTCTATAAAAGCTGTGTGGGTGGATGCTTGAAATCCGTGGTTCATGCTAAAGTGCTTTCAAGTTTAAAATGTGACAAGTGTTCATTGAATTGACAAGAAACTGAAAAACACCTCACAGTTTACAAGTTACTAAACATTTAGCAAGGTCTAGTCAGATGTCAAACAGAAAAAATCTGAATAACACTTTATTTTAAAAGGTTTAAATTTGCGTAAATGACTCAGGGTTATTTTGGCAAATTTTAAACAGAAAGACCTAATTGTTAGCCATAATAGCTAAAACCTTAACTAAAACTAGGTATACAGATACTATACCAATACTGCTCTCACTAAGACTTACTGCAGGATTTGTTGTTATGATACATGTAATTACCACCTAAAGATGTGCCTTAGCGCTGAATGTGCTAATGTCTGGATGAGTTCACACCTTACAAAGTGACATTGTGTGTTCATTTGTTCATTGGAACATGGGAACAGTGCTGCACATTTTAAGTTTTAAGACTGTTTACTGGGTAGCAGAAGAATGTTTCCCAATAATATGTGGTATCAGCTCTAAGTTCTGTTTAATTTCTGTTAAGATGGCTGCGTTAACTATCCACAACATTTAATTTTGCTTTCTAATTTTTGTTTATTCATTATTGGTTTTATTGATATGTTGTCGAATGTGATGGGATTGTCAGAAAAAAATATATTGTGGAGTATGCAATTTTACGTATTGGATAAAATGATAATTGTCTGGAACGCTTCTTCACTTATTTTTTTTTTTATGCCAAAGTACTGATATGTTGTCGAATGTGATGGGATTGTCAGAAAAAAATATATTGTGGAGTATGCAATTTTACGTATTGGATAAAATGATAATTGTCTGGAACGCTTCAACTTATTATTTTTTTTATGCCAAAGTACTATGAAAAACAATGCAGCGCCAGTTAGTGTGTGGCTCCAACGTGTAGTCATTATGTGAGTGTTTTCATTAAATATTTCAATCCTACTGGTTAAATTTAATCATAATTTGAATCTGTCACCTGCAGCACAGATGGTGTTACAGCTGTGTTTTTCAACAGGTTGAAATCTGCAGAAACTGTTGCAGTTCTGGGAGTCAAGCCTCGGCTCATTTTGCTGTCGGTGGATACCATTGTCTTATCTTTCACTTCATGAGGCTTCATGGAGAATACATAAACGTCAAATTTTAGCGCATAACAGGAGGCCTGGCATTGTACTACGATTTTAGTGCATAACAGGAGGCCTGGCATTGTACTAGTGGAACAATTGTCTTTGTAATATAATAATATACCGTATTATTAGTGGTAACTTGACGTGTGCAGATACAGTACCGAAAAAGATACTTTTTATCTTTTGAATGTGAAGCACATTTCAGTTTTTCTATCTTTGAAGAACTGAGGCTGAGTGAAATTTAAAAAAAGAAATGCTTGGATTTTTCCTGGAATTTTTTTTTTTAGTGAATTATTTGTCATTATGACACAGCACACCACTGCGCGCACACATGAAATGTGACCTCTGCTTTTAACCCATCTCCACAGTGAGCGGGGGGGCAGCTGAAGGCGCCCAGGGAGCAGTGTGTGTGGGGACGGCTGCTGTGCTGTTGTGATGGTCTGCATTCTAAGAGTAAGCCTTTCATTCACCTGTTTTTATTGTCAAAGTCACACCACGGCTGCTGTCCTTGTCTCTCTGTGTGTGTGGTTTTTTTGGTGTTCTGTTTGAAGCAACCGCCGGTCTCACTAATGAGCTGTATTAGCCACATACTCAAAGATAAAGATGTCATTCACAGAGAAAATGAATATACAAATTTCAAAAGTGTTGAAATAGGAGTTCAAGTCGACGGCAGTTGAT